ACGCTTAAATAATTTTGATCGTAAAACATGAGAACTAGCTGCCAATATAGTAATGCTTTTAAATTCCCAAAGTCGATGTATCAAAGCGGAAAGCTAGCCAGAACAGTTAGTATGAATAGATATATATATAGAGAAAAGGCATAGGAAATATTCGTTAGGAGGGGATGTGTGACTGAAGCCGAGATACCAGGCCAAGATCAATAACATTGCAGATTCTTCTTTGGATTCAACGACAATCCATAATAATAACCATATTTTGCCTCTGAAATTGAGATAAATTTGAGATTTAGATCAGATTTTCTGTAACTAGGTTTCCTGTTTGGATAAAGATATTTGATTATTAAATTCTACGAAGACTATCCTTATCACATTAAGCAATAAAAAAAAAAAATTTCCCGAAATTTCATAAAATTAAATGCGTGCGGCGTAACAAATGTAAAAATATTACTTATACATAGATTTTCCTAATAATAAAATAATAAATTTCAAATGCAAAACAATTTCTAAATAATTCCTGAAAGTTTCATTACAATTTGGCAATTATCTGATTTTTGCAAGAATTTCCAAATCAATGATTTTTCACAACAAAAAGACGTACAAATGTATGGCCGTCCTGGGTATGACGATAAACTACATCCGGCAGCAAGGCCTCTGATCAGGAGGTTTTGAGGAGCGTGGAACCACTTCTTAATTGCTGTTGTTCCCAGGACTACACTGACCCGGGGTGGTAGCATCTGTTAGGGTACCAGCTATGGGCAAATAGTTAACCATCAAACTGGGGTCAAAACGCTATGAAAGCGTAAAAACAAGTTTTTATAGTAAAAATACAAGCAATACATTAAAAAAAATGTTACCAGCAATATATTTTTGTAAAAAAAATATTGCCAGAAATATATTTTTGGAAAATAAATATTACCAGTGATATATTTTTGAAAAAAATTACCAGCAATTTAAAAAAAAATACCAGCAATATATTTTTGAAAAAAATTACTAGCAATCTATTTAAAAAAAAATAAACTAATACATTTTTGAAAAAAAAATATTACCAGCAATACATTTTGAAAAAAATTACTAGCAATACATTTTGAAAAAAAAAACAATATTACTAGCAATACATCTTTTAAAATTGTCAGCAATACATTTAAAAAAAAAAAAAAATACGAAAAAATTACCAAGAATACATTTCTAAAAAATATGCCAGCAATACATTTAAAAAAAAAAAATTAACCAGCAATACATGCAAATATATTAGTAAAAAAATCCTTGTCGGCATTAAATAACCCATTAAAGTTGATGTACCTTAAAACAACTTAACTTAACCAAACCAAAGACATTTATGGTCCCATGTTGAAGGCAGAAAAGCAAGATATTTAACCAAAATTTCCAAAGTTCTAAAAGGAATAATAGTAAAAAAATTAAATAAAAATCCTTTGATCTTTTATCTTAATAATAACAAAAAATTTTAACGATAAAATTTTGTTTTGTTGTTTTGTACATTTTTTCACCATATATCCTCTTTTTCAGCGATTTTTTAGAGGTACTTACATAAAATGATAATAGGAATTAAAAGAGTTGGTGTTTCTCTTTCTTTAAATGCTTTAGTACAGGGATCCTCAACAGGGGTGAAATTCAACCGCAAGGGGTGACTTTTTGGATTTTCTGGAGGTTAGCATCAGCCATGCTGTATCAAAGGAAAACATGGTTCACGATGACGATTAAAAGTTAGTAGTTTCATTTTGGAAGCAATAGAAATTTACAATCAATTTCTTTCCTCAATTAACGACTGATTGCAGGCCATTGTCGACAACAGCTACCAGTTTTACTTTGACGGATCTATCAGATTTACTCTTAAGATGGGAATAAATAGTTGTCTTATCAACATGAATACCGAATTGTAAATTGATGACATCAGGAAGGTCCTTGACGAAGATAAGAAACAACGTACGTAGGTCCAAGGATATATCCATGGGTTAAACTCACATTGATGTGAAATGAACTAGAAGCGAGTCCATTCGACTTTCATTACATGATTTGTTAAGAACAATTTGTTAAGTACGATTATATATATATATATATATATATAATTGTACTTAACAAATGTGGATGACTATGCTCTCGTTATCCGATCGAGTATTCTGGTGAAAGGGTAATTTCAAAACAATGACTGCTACTGCTATTAACACATTGCTATTCAATTACGAATTTGAGCCCTATTAGCTACTAGCATTTGTATACTTCTCGTATATAATGCGTTAAAATTTTCATTTCTCTGCTGTGCTGATAACTTAGGGTAAGATCTCTTACTGATACCAAATCGGTTGAGTTTCGATCCCGTTTTGAAACAATCGGACGTCTAGACACACTGATGAGCTGTGATACAGCGAAACAGGCTATATATATATATATATATATATATATATATATATATATATATATATATATATATTAAATACTACAGAAATTTTATGTCGATTAATTTTATCTACAAATTACGAATAATCCTTCTCAAATAAGGAGAGGATTCCGTCTGAAATTGTCCAAAGTTCATTTCGGAAGAAATATGGTACAGTCTTTCGATTTTCTTAAGTCATCATCAGGGTAGGTAGAGACAAATTGTGAGTTCGTAGAATTGCTGAATAGACCGTATTCCTTCCGAAATGAACTTATCTGAGAAGAATTATTCGTTATTTTGTCGCTCAAGAAATTCAATCGACAATAGTCTGTCATCTTTAATAACATTTAATTAAAGAAAATTTGCTCTTAAACACACATATACACGCTCACACACACGCATATATATGATAAACATATAGTTTTAAGATATGCTATATTTATGTGTTAAAGTGCTAAATTATGTAAATATAAAAGTGGGCATTAAAGTCAACACCCAAAGGTGACAGTCTATTTCATGCTTATACGTAATCGTTAGAGCCGGCGATTGCTTCTAAACAGGAAACAGACTGTCGCCCCTGAGTATTGCCTTCAATGTACAATTATATATATATATATATATATATATATTTTCATATCTATTATATATATATATTTTCAGTCTGTTACTTTACTTTAACCCTTAGAAAGCATCGGAACCATTTATTCCTGCTAGCTGTACTTCATCATGTAGAAGCGTTTTGCCGAGGTGCTGACAATCCTCCCACTGCATCATGTTTTAACGCTATTGTAACTTCAAGTAACACATTCGTTTTCAACAGTGTAACTTAACAATTGTAAACTTTAAAAATAAGTTATTCCAAAATTCGCTTGAAGATGAAACAGAACTAATGTTTTTAATTTAATTATATAATTAAATTTGAAGTTTTTAGCTTCGGTTTTTGAAACATGGTAATGCCTGTGTAGAAGAAACCATATTTTCAATCAGTTAATTTATAATATTCATGTTCTGTAAATTTACATTGAGCATTGTTTTGTAAAAATAAAAATATCAATAAAAACACCTGATTATATATCTTACTGTTCTTTCTTTATATATATATATATATATATATATATATATATAATTAATTTTTTCCTTTCATTTCGTTGTTGGAATTGTTACCTGATGATCCGGAGTCCTTTAAAAAGGATTTTGGTGAAATAAATTATTGTAATGGTACCTTAAAGTGGTCTGTTTTTCATTAAATATTAGCTCTGTATTCACATTGAGCTCTCAGGATTTCATCCTCTTTGGAATTACCCATTCGGTTTACTAAGTTCTTCGTAACTTATATATATATATATATATATATATATATGTATTGGGACCATCCCCAAAAAGCAATATCTAAGCTTTAAAATGAATATTTAAAAATGAAAAATCTTTCTTGAAGCATTTATTTTTGTTTCGGGTCAGAGATACACTGGGATTCAGGTATACTTTGACAAGTATTCACCAAAAAATAGCACTTCTTACTGTATTAGTCTGGCACATGGATAAATTTGAGTTTTTCATACTAAACTTCACACAATACAAGGCTCGAGCGCCACTAAAGATAGAGCGTTAATGTTAAGATATTTATTATGAATGAAATGTCTAATGTATATGAAAGAGAAAGAATGAAGGCGAAGATCAAGGGGGGGGGGGTAGATAAGAACTGACTCTTGATTGAAGAGGGGGTTAAGATTTTAGTTTTCAGGCAAGCATCCACGCGGGAGTCTGCTTCACCAAATAGCAGTTCTTGGTAAAAGGTTGTTTCAGTGAAATTGTCTTATTACCTTTGGAATACAGAGGAAATGAGGCTGATTCGAATTTGTTGTAGTCGAATGGCGTGTCCTAGATGGAAATGGTCTAACCTGGTGCAACTAGAAAATAGAGATTAGTTGAACATTTGCCATGGAAATGGCGATGGACTAACGTCTGTGAGAAAGAGTCTGCAGAATTAGGAAGATTGTATTGCGCTATATTTCAGAATAGCCTTGACCATTGATAGATACCATATTTAGAGCGTGAAATAATATAGAAAAAAAATATACAGAAATCCTCAAGAGATTGCCCATGTAATCTTAGTTCAGTGACCGTCAAACTTTTTCCTCCTGCTGACCCATACGCCTCGTCCGACTAAGGTGGCGTGCCCTTTACAAAAGACATTCCCTGTTATCGCACTCAAGGTCAAATCTGAAGAAAATTTGGGGTTGGGTGTTGGATGGATGAAATGAAGGTTAATGCCAAAATCACATTGTCTGTTTCTATCGGAAAAAAAAGGACAGCATTTTTCGCGAACTTCTAATTATAAAAAAAATGGTTGATTCGTTTTTACAGCTTAACTCTTTGCAGGTCATTTAAAGCCAGGAAATATTTTTACACTATAAGATTTTTTTTGGAGATAATAACGGCTTAAGGGATACAAGTCTTACTAATTAACCCATATCTGCGGGGAGAAGAGGTAGATTCATACCTTTCCCAAGGGTATTTGCGTGTAAGCGAATATAACGAACCCAGCGGGAATTGGAACTCAGTTAACAATTCCGAGCCATTATCCATTACACCACTTTCACATTCAAACTTACAGCACCTGGTATTCACAAGCGTTACCCATCAAGGTACTGCCCAGGCTTAACGTTGCTTAACTTCAGTGATCGTATGGAAACCGGTATTTCAATGTGATGTAGCTGTAACCCGCCTTATTATAAAAAGGACGAAGTACAGAATTCCCCTCACATACCATCTGAATATCTCTTGCGTGCACTCAGCTGTTGAGAAACCCTATCTTAGTTGATTAAAAAAAAAAAATGAAAATAGTTTTGAAATATTTCAAAAGGGAAAGATAGATAAATATCACGACTTTATAGAACTGAGGAAATTGTTGAGCATGGTGATAGCAGTGCCAGTAGTTATCGGAGCCCTGTGAACTGTTCCGAAGAGTATAGGACAAAGCTTGAATAAAAAAGCAGAAACATACATGAAACTATTCAGATAACAAATTTGGGGAAAACAGCTAAGATGACAAGGAGGGTGCTAGATTATTGAGGAGACTTGCAATCAGTGCCCGTTGTAAGCCACGATTTATTAAATGATAAGAACATTTAGTAGCGAAAGTGACCCCCTTTTATTAGTGGAAACAATCTTCGAATTACATATGTCCGTAAATATTTTCAAAAATATAATGTCAACACATTGGCTATCAAATACAGGGAAAACGAGTAAAACCAACATGGCGACCCAAAAATCGAAGAGGGAAACTTGTCTCCTGTATGTATTGAAATTTGTAAAAGAAACAATACCGAATTCTTTCATTTGCGTTATCCTCTAGCAATTTACTAGTCGACGTTTTTTCGTTGTAAACTCAATTTCATATAATCAATCACACACACACATACACACACACACACACACACACACACACACACACATACATACATACATATATATATATATATATATATATATATATATATATATCCATAAGAACAATAAGTTAATCAGGATAAACCAACAAGCCTAATTTTAATTCTGATCTTGTATTTTCTCGTCTTCTTAAAGAGGGAATATTCTGCTTTTAAAATAAAAAAATAATCGTTTACTCCACAGTTATTTACCATCGCCTGAAGTGATACGGCTTAGTGCCGAAACACGAAAGCTATTTTGTAGCGATTTTTTTGTTTCAATCTCCTATACTAAATAATATATATATATATATATAGATGCAAGTTTCATTAAAGATGACTGATAAGGTACCCAATCTTATTTTTCATTTTTTTCTTACAATCGTACAAATATTTAATTTTATGAACATAAAGCGTGTAAAAACTGTCCAAATGTTCTATATATTCGAACGCTTTCGGTTATTCTTTTAGCCGTTATCACGTATACCAACACTCAATAAAATCAATTCTGAACACGGCAACAACGTGCTGACCGTGTTTGGAAAAAATTCCTATTACTATAGGTGCACATATATAAAAAAATGTACATATTCACTTAAAATTAAAAAAAAAGGAAATCTTTGATAAGGGCTAATAGAATAGACGAAATATATTGTATAGTTTTTTACATACTTTATGTCCAGAAAAGAAAATACTTGAATAAAAGGCTTAATCGCAGTACCATTTTAGGGTCCTTAAAGAAACTTGTATAAAAGAAGGATTGCTGCCCAAATACACACTAAAAGTAGTAGTAGTAGTAGTAGGCATCCATTAATTTCGCGTGACAATGGTAGCGCCTTTTTTGGTCCATCATTGTCCTTTTGCGAGCAGCGTTTGGAGTTGCTTAACAGACCAATCCCTGCATGACACTCTCTTCCGCAGGCATGGCAGATGAAGATGCAATGTGGAATGGAGGTCTGATATTGCTCTCTCTGTTTCCTTCGTTCCTTTTTTTATTTTATCCCCAACAGTTGGTTTCGCTTTTTCCCTGCTTTTGTGACTCCTCCATGAACAGCAATGTTCCAGCCGATGCAATCGTCTGCTAGCTGTTCTCAGTTACCAGAGTTGATGCCTGTGCGTTTCATGTCCCTCTGGAAAACTGCCTTGTAACGTAATGTAGGACGACCTATCAGACGGTGTCCCGTGACCAGCTCACCATACATGATGTATTTTGGTGTAAGGCCGTCATTCGTACGATGTAATTGACCCAACCATCGAAGACAATGTTGACAAAAGGAGAAGATGCATGTTCCAGTACAACAGTATTAGTAACTTTTCTCTGCATTGGATGTCAAGAATACGTATTAGGCAGCGTTTATTCTGCCTGAGGTATGTTGTCCAGGTTTCGCTGTCGTAAAAGCACCGTACTAAGGATATATATATATAACACAAACAAACACAAACACACACACACATATATATATATATATATATATATATATATATATATATATATATATATATATATATATATATCATATTTAAAATAAGAAACATATTAACCCTTTTTGCCACCACGGTTTCCATCAATAAATGGTTTCTTCAGGTAGTGAAAAGGTCAATTGCTTTATTAAACATTATTTATACACACGGAAATATATATCTTATATATAAAGTACCTTGTAAGTGTGTGTTTGTGCGTGTGTATACACAAGCAATTACTCTGCTCTCATTTGTCCGATTTCAATGATACATTGCTCATCTAAAAGCCCTAGAAAAGTTAGGCAGAGTGAACGATTTTCGCTGAGCTCAGATTCAAGTTTGCCAGATTATGCGAGGTTAAAAATATATATTAATATATTATACTAGCCATTATCGTGGCTTTGATGGTTCAAGGGGTGTATCCAAAATTTCAGTGCACAGTTTATTATAAACTAGCTTAAAAGACGCTCTATCGGGCGGCATTTAAGCTAGCTCCTGTGTAGGATGCTTGGTTTGGCCATCATCACAATAGCTAGGGAGGAGTAGATGCGATAGGTATTAATAAACTACAGAAGAACTCAAAATTGATCGCTGTATTTAAGTATTGAATTAAAAGTTCAAGGATAATTCTTCTGCTGCCATTTAATTTAAAAACGATTCGATGTACGTAGATCATTATTTTCCGCACAAACATGGGTGACAGAAAAGACAAGACAGTTTATAAGATAAAATTAATATAATGTAAAGATTGGAAAATAGAAATAAGAATTAGTTAAACATTCAACATTTGAAGAGTTAGAGAAACATTAAAGTTAATTAAGTAAAACCGATATTATGGAATCTATATGAATAAATGTGAAATTGGATCAATTATCCAACGAATTTTGGTGTTAGTAATTTATACGGTGTTTACACGTTCCCCCACGAGGACGAGATGTGACACAATGTCTTTTTAATGTGAACTCGGACAAGGGACAAAAATTCACCACAGCCCCAACAACCGTCGATTGCACTGGCCTCGGTGCGAGCACCGATCTCTCCCTCTTGAGCAATGGGAGGGCGCGGTCTCTGGCAACTGTTCCCCAGGGCTGGGCACCTCTTCAGTATAATTTTCTCAGTTGCTCCTCTGTCCTTTGAGAGAGAAGCCCCTGAGTGCACTCTGTCCAAAGACAGAGACGCAACTGAGAGATGATAAATAATACGTACAAATTGCTTATAGTAATTTATACGGTGTTTACTCATTCCCCCACGTGAATGAGATGTGACACAAGGTCGTTTTAAAGTGAGAACCCGAGCGCGTGCACTCGGGTAGGGACAAAAATTCCCCACAACCTCCGCAACCGACGGTTGCGCTGACCTCGGTGCGATCACCGAACCCTCCTTCTTGTGCAATGGGCGGCCTCGGGCAGTATGATTTTCTCAGTTGTCCCTCTGTCCTTTGACAGAGAAGCCCTGAGTGCACTCTGTCCAAAGACAGAGGAGCAACTGAGAGGTGATAAATAAGACGTATAAATTACATTACAGTAAAAGCACAATATCTGCATTATATATTATCTACTTCTATGTGATATCACTCTTCAGGTTTAACTAATTTGCATATTGATTTTAAAAAATTATATTTCACTAATTAATTCTCCTTCATTAGTGTTCTTTTATTCAAGGATTGTTTTGATTTTCATATCAAAAATAGTTCTGTTTAGGAATATCGTCTTACATTGGCATTTAACAAGTTGGCATCTATTTGTAAAACTTTACTCAAATATAACAAGTCAATTTACGAATGAAATGTTCATTTAAAATTTTTGTTTCAAATATTTCAAGTAGTGAATACTTACTTTGCAGAGCGATAGCGAGCAGGCGAAGCCTGCTAATATATATATATATATATATATATATATATATATATATATATATATATATATATATGAGTGTGTGTGTAATAAAATAAGCAGCTCCCAAAAGAATCTGATACGGTTGAACACAGAAAAAAAAAGAATGCTTACGTCATATTAAATGGAAGAGCGTTATCATATTTTAAATCAAATTTCAAGCGGGCAGTGACCGACCTTCACTGCCAGTTTTATACATTTTCACGCACTCATTAGGCGGGTCAGGATCTGTAAAATGGGAACCTTTATCGTCTCAGGCGAGTCCAAGATCGTAAAAGTGTAGCCAGTGTGTGCATATCATACACACACCAACCACACCCACCCGCCCCAAATTAAAATAGCCGTAAATATCATAATTAATAAGAAAAAATGAAATGGTTCAAAGAGTGGTCGATGTCATGGGGATCAAAGAGACCTCGGTAAAGGAGTTTATTGCTTCAAACAAAAAAAAAATGATCGAAAGTACCGTACCCTTAAAGTCACCGATGACAGATCATAATAATAATAATAAGCCGCTCACAGAAGAAGAGACTGCTATGGTTGTACACAAGAAAAAAAGTGCTCTATGCAATATTAAATGAGAGGCCTTACCGACCGACTGATTGCGTGTGAAAACGTATGAAACTGGCAATTGTGGTCTGTCAATTCCCAGTTGAAATCTGATTATATATATATATATATATATATATATATATATATATGATTGACTCTCCAGTCGAGTTCGACGTATGAGGCTCCGATGACCACTGACTAATTATCTGCCTATGACACGTTTGACTTTTGAGGCCGGCTCGAGAATTGCGCAAAAGTGCACAAACAGGAGAAAATATTGCATGCAAGTGCAGCAGAAACATTGTTATCTGTTTTATTTCGTTTTCGTGTTTTATGCAGTCGAATGATGCTTGACGTTGCTTTTCTTCCTGCATGAC